GCCAAGGAAAAGCTGGGTTCTATGAATTCCCTATTAAAACACTATTGAGGCGAATATTATTTCGTTTTGCTTTAATATGTTGTTGCGCCCTCTGTTATTTTTTAGCTTTATTAAGAAATCTCATTTTTTAAAGTCGTTAGATCATATTAAAGTGCTATTTTTAGTTCTATCCTATTTATCTACTTTGATGCTAATCACAAAGATAGCGAAACATTTCTAAATATACCTGGTCGAAAATCTTATCTTGAATGCAATGATATTGCAAGAGTAAGCTATAAAATCTTTACGAAGAAAAGTTGGGTTTCGAGGAATCTCTTGTTTCATAATTTTTGAGCTTACTTCCATTTCGAGTCGAAGGTCGGTTCCAACAGAAGATGACGGTGAATTCCTCTTGACCAGCTGTCGATTGGCTTGACTGGAAGATTAATGCAGACGCTGTTTCCGAGGCAATCTCCTTTGATTCCGGTGAAAACGTGCTAAGCTTTCGTCCGTCATGTGACGGACATCATCTGAGCGAGGTAACATCGTCACAACAAAATTCATGTTAACGAGTCAAGAAAACTCACCAAAAAATCCTTAAAAAGCTTCATATATACTCTATATTTGATCAGGCATAAAGTTAATTTGTTAGTTGCAGTCATATGTCAACCTCGTAGCCTGTGAGTGTCTGTCTCTGTATGTCTTTGGCCAAAGTACCTGAGGTTGATAGCGATTCGTATACCTACAAATCAAACATTTTCCACTATTATCATAGATGTTACGATTCAAGGTGGAAATTTTACAAGTGGAGATTATACTAGAAAGGAAAATATCTCCTTGGACAAGGCCAAACGCTGCCTAAGATGGGAAACCGCGAGTCACAGTGCTCGCGAGGCGAATCAAAGAGGTTAATAACCATGCAGTGCGCATGAGATGCTCAATCTTAGCCAGTAATTGCTTTGAGCATTCGACATTGTCGTTACGTCAGTGATACCAATACTAATAATTAATTAATTATCAATTATCCATAGGGTAAAATGGTAGGTAAGATCAGTTTTTTTCTTTTTTTAGCTAACTAATAATGGGAAGAAATGCGGATTCTTACATCCTTTCTCAGATTGTTTCATTTTTTAATGTTTTAAATCTTGCCATTCAGAATACGTCTCTTTCGTCAGATGCGGACTAAAGCCAAAGCAGAGCCCTATGGAGGTTCATCTATTGAGATTATGCATCAATGCCTGGCTGAAATTCGTGCAGATGTCCATAAAGAAAAGCTGAAATGGACTCCTTTTCTCTTCAACTCTGCCATGCGGGCATTATGCCAAGGCAAGCAAGGGATGTGCAATTTATTGAAACTGACTCACGTTTCTGGGCTAGCACTATTTCTTTGATCACTCACACTTGTTAATTTAGTCCTTTCAGTTAACTTTTGAAATAAAGAGGAATACGCATTTTGGCATATTCCGATTTTAGACTGAAACGAGAATCCAAATAACTCTCATGGATACTATTAATAAGTATTTCAGGTTAATATTGGCTTGTTAATCGCTAAAATTTTCCTAGATATTTAGCCTTTGCTACATAAATACTAAATCAATCCCCTGGCTATTGTGTAGGCATAACTGAGGGCTAGTTTCGTCTGGTAGCCACTAGAATAAAAGCTGTCACATGCGAAGGTGTACTAATTCTCCTATAGGTGAAAGTTAGGCGTGAATGAGGAAAAAATGGCTCAAATCTGGTACAGATAAGTCATGTAAACTATCTCAGAACCAGAGAAATATATGGCGGAAATGTTTACGACGCTTCACTATCCACCGGAGAATTCATTTTGTCCATGTTTGGACTTATACCAAAGTTTTCTCGATAAGAGGAAATAGGACAAATTTATTTTGAGCTAAGCGCTTATTAAATATTGCACAAAATCATTTTATACCAATACGTTGCTATCTGTATATATTTGAACATTTCCTTTTCAGCTGGTGACGTTAAACTGGCTCTTCAGTTGCTGGATGAGGTGTTGCAAAACCCGACTAAGGAGTTTGTATATTTTCGTGAGCCAATTTTGCGACACCTTATCAACGGACTAGTAAATGCCTACATTCGTCACCGATTCCTGTTACCTTCTTCACTTACTCCACTTGACCCTTTTGCATCTAATGAATCGGAGCTTCTTAGCAGAGAGTTTCTTAGCCAACCGGTTTCTAAGTAAGAGCGTAATTTTCGTCAGAAACTAACATTTTATTTACCCTATACAACCCTATCCCATCAATTTATAATCAACAGAACCAAATTTTATGCTATCTATCGGATCCCAAAAGCAGTTACTGGTATGTACCTTTTTTGTAAGCATGATATAGTAACCATAAATAGACAGAATTACTATACTCTATATAAGTAAGAATTTGACCTCTACCATTTACTAGTACTAACCCCCATTTTACACACTGATCTGGTCAATGAGTGCAGTCTGCTCGAAGAAATAAAGATAACTTTGTGGCCTGGTGGTCACAAGATACTCAAAAGCACAAACTAAGCTAACTAGTAGTCATGACATAAATATTGATTACACACAACAGACACTAACACAAATCTAAACATGAGTCAACATTAGGGTATCGCACGCTAGTTTATTTGAGTAAGAAAACAGCTACTTTCGAATACAATTCCGGTTGGTGAAATAACTTTAATCATCTGAAAGCACAGATTAAGCTTTAGGTAGTCAAACAAATCATGGGATATCTCATTAAGATCGCAAAGATAGGGTTACAGCCGGCCACTTTGTCTCTTGGCTTAGCATATTTTTGCCCTATTACGTAAAGTATTCATTCTTGCTCTGATGATTCTTGTTACGGCGGTACAGGCGAAAGCCTAGCAAGGTTTCGTCGGGGTCGCAGGACGGTGAACCGAGGATTTCTTCGCACAATTCAACGTTATTTTTATGCGACAATCCTCCTTCGGTTTTCAAGTGCGACCACATCACGAATTATTTCCAATCAAATTTCCTTTCAAAATAGGGTATCATGTCACAATATTTCATTAAAGAAGTTTTCGAAACCCAATTTTGTTTTATATATTGGTATGAAGATTTAGAGGAACGCACCTAGTCTGAAGTCCATTGTATGCATGATAATTTCCAGAGTTGGACGTGGACGGAGTACATTCCCAGACGTTTCGCCGACATTGTCTTGCCATTCTTAGCATCACGCTACGTGTCAGAGACAAGTGAAGACGATCCTTTGACCAATTGCCTCCTAAACAATCGTGGTATCTC